TTCCATCGACTTGAAATCGATAGTCCCTCTAAGAAGTGACTGTACCAGCAAATGCTAGCAGCACTATTTAGTAGGTTAAGGTCTCGTTCGTTATCGCAATTAAGCAGACAAATCACTCCACCAACTAAGAACGGCCATGCACCACCACCCACAAAATCAAGAAAGAGCTCTCAATCTGTCAATCCTTATTGTGTCTGGACCTGGTGAGTTTCCCCGTGTTGAGTCAAATTAAGCCGCAGGCTCCACTCCTGGTGGTGCCCTTCCGTCAATTCCTTTAAGTTTCAGCCTTGCGACCATACTCCCCCCAGAACCCAAAGACTTTGATTTCTCGTAAGGTGCCGATTGCGTCAATAAAAGAACAACAACCGATCCCTAGTCGGCATAGTTTATGGTTAAGACTACGACGGTATCTGATCATCTTCGATCCCCTAACTTTCGTTCTTGATTAATGAAAACGTCCTTGGTAAATGCTTTCGCAGTAGTTAGTCTTCAGTAAATCCAAGAATTTCACCTCTGACTACTGAATACTGATACCCCCGACCGTCCCTATTAATCATTACGATGGTCCTAGAAACCAACAAAATAGAACCATAACGTCCTATTCTATTATTCCATGCTAATATATTCGAGCAAAGGCCTGCTTTGAACACTCTAATTTTTTCAAAGTAAAAGTCCTGGTTCGCCAAACGGCTAGCCAGAAGGAAAGGCTCGGCTGGGTCCAGTACGCATCAGAAAAGATGGACCGGCCAGCCAAGCCCAAGGTTCAACTACGAGCTTTTTAACTGCAACAACTTTAATATACGCTTTTGGAGCTGGAATTACCGCGGCTGCTGGCACCAGACTTGCCCTCCAATTGTTCCTCGTTAAGGTATTTACATTGTACTCATTCCAATTACAAGACCCGAAAGGGCCCTGTATCGTTATTTATTGTCACTACCTCCCCGTGTCGGGATTGGGTAATTTGCGCGCCTGCTGCCTTCCTTGGATGTGGTAGCCGTTTCTCAGGCTCCCTCTCCGGAATCGAACCCTTATTCCCCGTTACCCGTTGAAACCATGGTAGGCCACTATCCTACCATCGAAAGTTGATAGGGCAGAAATTTGAATGAACCATCGCCAGCACAAGGCCATGCGATTCGAAAAGTTATTATGAATCATCAAAGAGCCCGAAGGCATTGATTTTTTATCTAATAAATACATCCCTTCCAAACAGTCGGGATTTTAAGCATGTATTAGCTCTAGAATTACCACGGTTATCCAAGTAGTAAGGTACTATCAAATAAACGATAACTGATTTAATGAGCCATTCGCAGTTTCACTGTATAATTGCTTATACTTAGACATGCATGGCTTAATCTTTGAGACAAGCATATGACTACTGGCAGGATCAACCAGATAACTACATTCAGACACGCTGCGAGAGAGCGTGTGCATAAGGAAGTTACTGTGGTTGCGGGAAACTACGTGCGTTTCCGGTGGCGTCGCGCCACGCGTGTGTTTGACCACCCGCGTGCTGCTTGCCACATCCATATAGCCCTCTTTAAGTTCTCCTGGTGTGACTTCCGCCAAACACTGCTGCAGAAAACGAGTCCGCGCAGCTTTGGCATGGCCAACCATGGAGGGAGTTACGCTTGAGAAATCACAGAATTGCTTCCGGCTATTTAACAAGGCAGACCCCCAAGTGGGTTTTAGTTCGAACACTTGCTATCAGCTAGTAGTCCACTAAATCCGTCAGCGCTCACACACGAAATCGTCAGATATCCGGTGTGAGACTGTTCAGGCTTGTCTCTGCCAAGAGAGACCCGCCCATGTTGCTGTAGCGTATAGAGCAGCTTGCGATTGTGCATCACTCACAGACTCTCTCCACTCAACAACGTGGCCTTAAACAAGCTGGGAAACTGGTCTCTGTTGAGACTGTTTTCCAAATTGTCTTTTTCTGCTTTCGCATAAATATCCTTCCGCTCAATTCTTGAGTGCAATTTTGTCGCGCCACCTACTCTTCCGATTCCACAGTCTAAAAAGGGCCCTTTTTTGGGGTTTTTTTTTCCTAGGGGAAAAGCGAAAAAAAAAAAGCGAAAAAAAGTTGCAAAAGTGGTCAAAAATCGCAGAAAAAGAGAAAGTTTTGTAAAAAGAGGGGACTTCTATGGTAGCGCCAGGGAGAAAAGAAGAGAAAAACAAAAGTTTTCTGGAAAAATTCATAGAGCACGTATGCATAAAAAGCAAAGAAATCTTAAAGTCGGTTGTGCAGGGCACTGCGACCGCAGTTGCACAGCGCCACACTCAATTATGCTCCTCACACACCTCTGTGCTTGCTTGTTTCAAGATGGGGTCACGTTACCTGCACCGCTCCACCATAGCCGCCGCAAAATGAGAGTATTTCGGTTGCGGCCATATCTAGCAGAAAGCACCGTTTCCCGTCCGATCAACAGTAGTTAAGCTGCTAAGAGCGAGACCGAGTAGTGTAGTGGGAGACCATACGCGAAACTCTCGTGCTGCAATCTTTTTTTTTTTCTCGTGCTGCAATCTTTTTTTTTTTCTCGTGCTGCAATCTTTTTTTTTTTCTCGCGCTGCAATCGTTTTTTTTTCTCGCGCTGCAATCTTTTTTTTTTTTCTCTCTCTCTTGCAATCTTTTTTTCTCTCGCATGTATTGATATACTACGGTTCTTAATCTTGTTTACTAGCATAATACACGTTATCAACCAAGTTCATTTCTATTCTGAATACGGTATATACTAAACAAAGGGCAGTCCTCATAACCTTCAAATAGTCTCCCTGAACCGAAGTAGCAATGCCAACCCGTAGACCCTTTGGACAGGCACCGCAGGACTGTGCTGTTACCCGGCGCTCCCTCATGCCCACCAACCACCACCACCCCGCTTACCCGGCACTCCCCCCCGCTCAAGTCTACAAACCCGCAAGCTCGCGCCCGCAAACTCGTAGACAAATCAGACAACTGAAGCTTAATCTCAGCAGATCGTAACAACAAGGCTACTCTACTGCTTACAATACTCCGTTGTACATCTAAGTCGTATACAAAGGATTTATCCCCGCGCATGTCGACATTGCTATCCGCCGGCAAGCACACAAAGCCTTTCCGCTAAGCGCACCGTTGCCAGCCTGCTATGGTCTAGCGACTAAAAAGTCTTATTCTTATCCATCTAAAATGTGCAGGGCAAAAATCATCGCTTTCTAGCATGGATTCTGACTTAGAGGCGTTCAGCCATAATCCAGCAGATGGTAGCTTCGCGGCGTTGCCTGATCAGACAGCCGCAAAAACCAATTATCTGAATGAACGGTTCCTCTCGTACTAAGTTCAATTACTATTGCGATAACATTCATCAGTAGGGTAAAACTAACCTGTCTCACGACGGTCTAAACCCAGCTCACGTTCCCTATTAGTGGGTGAACAATCCAACGCTTACCGAATTCTGCTTCGGTATGATAGGAAGAGCCGACATCGAAGAATCAAAAAGCAATGTCGCTANTTACCGAATTCTGCTTCGGTATGATAGGAAGAGCCGACATCGAAGAATCAAAAAGTTGTAGTAGCGTGTCTTTGTGTGTAAATATTTTCGCGTTTTTCTTCAACTTTTTTGCAAAGATATTTGGAGAAAAATGTTGTGTTGAAAAATTTTTCCAACTCTCCACCACTTTTTCTTCTCCACCATCGGAATCTCAATCATTTGGCCATGACTTCTTACACGAAATAGTCAGTAGCCTTATGATGAGCGGTCCATGCTTGGTCCTCTCTGTAGGTACTTGGCTCCCTCCAGGCACCTGCTTGAGGGTCTCCCTCTCTCGTTCAGGGGGGGGGTGTATGAAGCGTGGACCACCGTAGAGAAGGAGGGAGAAAGAGAGAGGGGGAGGGGACATGGGGAGTATATATGTATTGACAATTCTGCTCTGCGCTTCTGTATTTAGCTTCTTCTTGAGGCGAAGCCTCAAATTTTCTCCCGGCAAGATATATAAAACCGGGAACGTGTATATGCTAAGAGCTGCGAGCTCTGGCTTAGTGGTGGTTTTTGCTAAACTGTGTGGAGGGTAGTTCTTTTTTTTTCTGGTTTGTTAGCATGTTTTGTGTTCGAACCCAGCTATATGCCATTCGTCAAATGAGCAAGGTACGCGTGTTTATGGTCATTCGAATTGGTGTGGTTTATAAGTTGGACCAAAGCGTTAGATCCCTCGCTCGATCTTTTTGCAACCAAAGTGCAATTTTTAGACACAGCTCAGTCGCGCGACGGGAAGGTCCGTTGCGGCGTGTAAAAAGATCAAACGAAAAATAAAAACAAAATGACAAAGAAAAAAATTCCCAGTCGTGCTACCGAGTTATGTCAAAGGAAGCGAAGACATCGTTACGCGTGTCTTTTGTAATTTATCGAAACGCTGAGCACTTAGACATGGTCACAAGCACCTATCGCAACGTAATGTTTCATTGCCCCTTACGAAAAGCGTTTGGACCGTACCTGCAATGTTACAAGAGTGCCGTTCATGCAACGTTACGTCATGACTGTCGGAAAAGAAAGAGTTTGTTTCATACTGTTATGTTCACACTGACAGCAAAAAATTGTACACCATGCAGAACTGGGGGGGTAGTGTCCTTTGTTTACAATAGACTTTTCCCACCGTCACTGTTCCACGACCAACTCTTTTGACTCACTCAGCTCAGCTCAGCTCAGCCCCTATTTTTACGACCAGTGGTCTGTTGGTAAACAAACATTCCTTTTATTGTCTGGGGGAACACAAATGGGTGCAATCGTGAACATTCAGGAACAAAGTGTTGACAAAAATTTTTTCTCTCTGGTATTTTCCTTTTTTTTTTTTCTTGTCATTTGTTGACATTTCACTTTCCATTGTTTTCACCAACGTTGGAACAATAGGCAACCACAACGATGACGTTTGCTGATTTTTCGCCCACACCGGGGTTGGCCCGCAATGCTAGCGAATACTTAAACGCTCGACAACCCCATGCTTTTTCTACATCCTAGACCACTGCATCGCCCAAAATGCTTTATTCAACCTTGCTTCTACCATTATACGCCTTGCTAGTCACAGCTATTCCGTTCAGAAGAGGAGACTCCAACGATCCAAAGGAGTACCTAGTCTCGCCATTACCTGGTTGGGATGAGTTACCATCTGACTATGCAAAGCCCATCCAGTACGCCGGTCAATTGGAGCTTTTTGCCGAAAACAACACTGACTACTTCTTCTGGAAAATCATTGATTCCGACAAAATTCCTGAAAACAAAAACCGTACAACGTTTTGGCTCCAAGGAGGGCCCGGCTGCTCATCGCTTGAAGCAGTTTTTGCGGAAAACGGGCCATTCAAGTTGAACGAGGAGAGACGCATCACTGTCAACGAAGCTTCTTGGCATAAAATTTCCGATATGGTTTACGTTGACCAACCACCAATGGTTGGTTACAGTGAAGGTGAGTTGATTCGCAACTTGTACCAAGTGCAAGTATACTTTATGAGGTTCTTGGAAAAGTATTTTGCATTGTTTCCTGATGACCTTGAAAATGATATCTACATTGCCGGAGAATCTTATGGTGGACAATATATTCCATACGTTGCTGATGCGATACTCAAGAGGAACAAGAATTTGACCGATGGACAAGAAGAGTACAAGTTAAAAGGATTGCTCATTGGAAATGGATTAGTGTCGCCAGACGAGCAAAGTTTATCCTACGTTGATTGGTTTAAGGAGAAGTTATTGATTGATGATTCCAACCCCAAGTGGTCTGATATAAACGATGCCCAAAAAGCTTGTCAGGATGTTGTTGATGGCAAAGCAGCAAGTCCAAACGAAAACTACGCATTCTCATGTCGGTCCATCTTATCGATTCTTTTGGAAGCCACAAAAAATGACACAGCGCCAACGGAGCAGCAATGCGTCAATGTTTACGACTATCAATTACGTGATTCTTATCCATCTTGCGGGTCGTCATATCCCCCAGTCACTGAACTCGTTACACCTTACCTTAATAGCTCAGAGATACAGCACGACTTGAACGTCAAAAAACCCGTCAATTTCACAGAGTGCAGCACAGATGTTCAGCACTCTTTTACTGCCACCAACTCACCCCCAGCCAAAGAGCTTTTACCAGGTATTGTATCCCAAATCCCAATAGTCTTGTATAATGGAGACCTCGACATCATTTGCAACTCGGATGGAGTATTGAAATATTTGTCCAACACAACTTGGAATGGCGCAACGGGCTTTGACAATGCCGATAACAAATCCGACTGGGTGGTTAGCAACGAAAAGGCAGGATGGGTGTTGCAAGAAAGAGATTTGACTTTTATCAACATCTACAATGCCAGTCACTTGGTCCCATACACACAGCCTCTAGTGTCTAGATATTTGTTTGATTTTGTTACAAATGAGTACACCAAAAAGGATGGCGCCTTCATCAGTCTGCCAAAAGAGGGGCTCAAAAATTGAGTCAGTGTCTATTGAGTATAGATAAAAAGTATCGGCTTGAGATTATTTAGGTAAGTTGTACATTTTCTGGTTAAATCATTGAACAAGGATGTCAACACAAATTGAATACACTCGCAATAAAATTACTATCCACTTTCGATTCTTCCACTTTGCTTCTCTTTTGAATTGCGTCATACGCCTGAGCGTGTCGAAGGGAACTCCTTTTTTTTTTTGTTGCTCTCAATGCACTCAATTTTTCTAACTTTTCAAGCTACGTCACAATTGAAGGCATGAAATGCAGTGCAAGTCGTATAAGTCCTGAAATGTGCCGCATATTTCCGATTTGTATGAGACGCGGGTATTCACAAAGACTTTGTATTGTCTTTCTTTGTAGCCCCCCCATAACTAGTAACTTCAGATTTCTCAACCACACATATCGAAGTGCATCTGTGGCTTTATAAAATCAGTATACGCTATCTATAACAAGAAGATCAGATTTCGGCTTTGCTTCTTATCCAATCCGTTTTCGTTTTCTGAGATGAAAACGTGGTGCAGACGAAAACAGGGTGTCGTTATCTAGTGCTAAATAAGTAGAATTTCGGGGTAAATTTGCAATGCGATAACACTCATAACTTGAACAAGATTTGTGTGTGCATACCAAACATTTCTAGACAAACATTGAGAAGTCCTTCTACACATGTAGTATTGACAGACGTGTTGATTGCTCTCTAAAGCGCAACTTCTTGTCAAGGGCGTACCTCTTTGATGGCTCGTTTCTATGCGTAGTATTCTTTCGCAACAAAAGAGCGAGCGAGACGGAGACACAGGTGGTTGTTTTGAATCGCATTCCATTGAGTCAATTACATGTGTCTACAACTAAATAGGTGAGCTTCAACAACTCGACTACATTATCGTCAGTCTTTTAAACAGGTAAAGTGGCACCGATTGGGTTGATAATCGCCTCAGTTGCCACAGCTTTTCCAAAACTTTGGTCGATAATGTTACCAAAATATCGAAAATGAGAAATAATTAAATAAACAACAAAATTTAGCCCTAAGAGGTCTCCAGACGTAATATCTTACACTAATAACCAATAAATCAATCAAACCTTGAAGAATTGGAGCATATTTTGACTCATTGAATGAGGGTTTAAAATCTGAAACGTGATAAAACGTTAAAGAACAGGTATGTAGAAAGTTTTTTCTAACCATTAAAAAGGCGCAAATGGTTTAGTGGTAAAATCCAACGTTGCCATCGTTGGGCCCCCGGTTCGATTCCGGGTTTGCGCATTTCTTTTTGCAAATTTTTTTCATCTTATAACTACACTTGAATCTTTACATCCTGTAAACGAGCTGGATCTACAAACGTATGAGCTCTTTGGAATATGATTCTCCCTTCGAGACTTTTCTTCAAACAAAGTGTTAAGTTGATTGACTCGAGACTGCAACTTTTCGGCACTTCTTAACTACACCTTCAGCTTTATTCTCTTCTCTGTGCCGTGTAAGTGAAGCATCATATGGACTAGAGCCTTTCTCGTTGCTTAAAGTGAAGGATTTAGAGATTAGGTTGGGGTAACTAGTGGTGCCGCCGCACGATAGTAACATTATAGCCAAGACTACGTTTGTTTCGCAACTAGATTTTGAAACAAAGCAGCACTACAATTCACAACAGCAGCGCCATGATAAACCATGCGGAACTTTATCATTAACTTGAAGCAGTTTGAAGAAGCCGTTTATTGTGTATGTGTCAGCGGATAAATATTTTCGCTCCATTTTTAAATAAACTTTTTTAGTTTCCTTGCACAGAATGCAAAGTTTATTGGAAAGTGATATAAAACCTTAATATTTCGGAAGTTTGTTAAATCCGAGAGGCAACTGTGTCACCGCTCTAGCCGGTCATCTTGTAGGATAAAAATTTGAGCTCTAGTACGTTTGAACCCAGCAGAACAGAACCCAACGTACGTAGGAGCAGAGGAGGGTTTAGTTCGAGGAGTTCATTTCAGCAGATGCGCGGGTCTTGGACACAAATTTAGAGAGATGGCACAAGCGCAGGTGAGAATAGCCGTTTTTAAGAGACGAGTTTCATTGTTACAAAAATCAGGCCATGCAATTTCACCCTATTGTACATTTCTATACACAGACACCAATCACGGCTACTAAGATGCCAATGTTACCATATTTACCCGAGAACGCAAGAGGCAGAACATAAAAAGCTGGAGAAGTCAACCCAAAGCTCCTTGTAGCGATGCTGCAGCTGCGCTGCGGTTAAAAAAAAAATGCTTGTACTTGTTTTGTCTCTATTATTTTCCCAAATTCCGTGGATACTTGCAGCTCATGTGCGGTATTAAAAAAAAAGACACAAGGCAAAGAGGGAGAAGAGGACATTTCATCTCGTCACAATACCATTCTCAATGCTGGCGGATTTTGCCGTAGGAGCAATGCTTTAGGTTGACAAAAAAAAGAAAAAGATGGTCTAAAAAAAGTTTAGATTTTGAAGGGGATGGGTTACAGAATCAGCATCATGTGATTCAGACTCTTTTATTAGACAGGTTCACACCTCAAGCAGAAACCTCGCTCTGCTGAGCCCCTCGTGAAACGACTTCATTATGAAGTCACAGCTCAAATGAAACATACAAAAACGAAGAAACCCACGACAGAGATTTGCATGTGCTTTGGAACGTCAAGCGGAATTTTGAATTCCTCGGCTCATCCTTGCTGCAGTGGCTTGATGTACATTACTATTTGTATGCCAAATTTGCGTTTGGCGTTTGAATTGTTGTTCTGTACATGAGCATAGGAACAAAGTGGGCTACGTCAGTTGATCATGCCTGTTACCGGTAGGTATATCCGTTTTTGTGTAATGTACAAATAATAGCGTGGTCGTGTACGCTCATTCAAACAGACTTTCTCAATGTTATTTTTAGGCGTTTTGTGCGGAAGCAAAAAAGTCCCAATAATTAATCGACACAAAATCTTTTGATTGTTGTTTTACAATTTGTGTTGGGTAAAATTCTCTGCATTGCAGCTTTAGCTTCTGTATCTAAAATTTGCCCGCGGTACATCTGTTGGTTGTAAAGTAGTACCAATTGAGTAAAAGTCGTGCAGTAATCGACAAAAAGCCTTCACAAGAGGTAAACGCAAAGAAAGTGTACACAGATGCGATGGAATATGCCAGCAGACGAGACGACAAGGACACTGGAGAAGCCGAACCGGTTGTGCGAGTAATTGGGTAAATCACTGGATGCGCGAGCAGTTGTACCGGGTACATGTGATGCTGCAGATCGCTAGATTTGTACACTGTTGTCGGTGTGATTTTTGAGACTCTGGGCATACGCGATCTGCAAGAGTGTTTTATTCATACTTTCGAGATACGTAAAATTGAGGCGGCTGCAGAGAACACTGGGAACTGAGCAGGATGTGTATCCTCGCAAACAACAATAGTTCTCATGACACCACTTTCCGAGACCGAAACTACTTCCGTGTAAGCGTTTTACTAAGTCCTTCTTAAAACTCAATCTCGTTCGAATTTAGTTCATGCATGACCACAATGTAGCTCAACATCCCTCAAATTTCTGCTGATGGCCAATTATTCTGTTTGTTAGCGCAATGAAGAAAAACAAGAAAATTTTGTTGCTGATGAGGCACAAACACAAAACTACAACTTTTGTAAGTGTCCTGCATACAAAGAGAGAGCAGAGTCCGTATGGAACAGCCTTGAAGAATGAAGAGGGGGGTGAAGATGTTGAAATTAACAACTTGTAATATTTTAACGCAAGTGCTTCTGCTCCCCCCCCCAGATTGCTGAATTTGAAAACACTGCACAATTTTACGGAGAGATTCTGTATGGGCGCTTATTCTTTATTGTACATATCTCTATGAAACAGAAAACAATACGACTTTTCATCAAAATCTATAGGCGATGTTGTGCATCTCTCTGTTTTCTCTTTGCTAATTTAGATCATACATGCACAGAACTACTTTAGTGTTCCCCAAATTGTATACAAAAAATATGTCGATCACGAGCTTCTTTTTATGATTTTTTTTTTTTGTTTTTCTTCCCTTTGTTTCTGTTATAGTGTAGAATGCATGACGGGCTAAGTTCCACTTTTGCTTTTTGTAATTCAAATTTACAAACAATTAAGTAGGGTTGCTTATACTACTCACCCTAAGCCTAGATTTGGTGAGAAGTAGAGACAAACAGTTTCGGTGAATGTCACTATAAGAGTGAGTCAATTTCCAATCTTGTTCGACACTCAGGAGACCGGTCTCCAATCTCCCTACACCAAAACAACAACAAAAAAAAGGGCTCACCTTTCTTCCTAACGCTCTTGCTCAACTAATCTTATCGAAGAAAAAGAAAAAGTAAACAAAGCATAAACAGAGTTTAGCCTAAACTATAAACAGCTGCAATTGGAATTTCCAGGAAGCAGAAGCATCTGATCCGACACCATTGGAAGAACTCGATTATCCCTCACCAAGGTTGCTGTTTCCCCACTCATTATCTATTTTGAGTGTCGCAAGAGACGAGTATTATATCGCGCCAGAAAAAACTCATAGTCCCTTGCATAGAGGTACATTCTTCGGTACATAATCTCACATAATCTGAGACACATTTACGCAAAACAAGGACCCTTTTCATACAGTTGCAACAAAACTGTTGGTCTACGATATTTCAACTGTTCACATAACTAGCTTTTGTTGCGTACGCCTCTTAGCCTGACAAACCTGAATTGTCAAATCTAGCCGAAGGAGGAAAAAAAAAGAAAAAAAAAACTAGAATCAGCCCATATTTTTATTTTGACTATATTTATTTTCTTTTTCCAAGAGTCAAAAAAAAAGGGTCATCAATTGAAAGAGAATAGCTTTCCCCCCCAAGATCAAATTTCGAGCCCGCTTCCTAAAAAACGCTACATCGTGTGATATTTGTTACTTCTACAGTTACATATATTCAAAAGGTACTCGAGGTTTGGAAAAAGGAAAAAAAAACAAAAACAAACCATCTTCAAGGGAACAAGGGAGATCACGATACATAACAATTTTCCCCCATACAAGGATCTCACATTTGTACATTCATCTAATATCAATCACCAATTGAGCTATTCTCACGCTTGAATCACCAAGAAAGCAAGTCAAACAGCAAGTGGTAACAGGTAACATCTCAATTTATTCCCCAACTTACCTGTACCCACAATTCATGTCTACCTATTCCATACAACACAGATATCAAATGAACGGAAACTACGGCAGCGCAGGTGTCCCACAAAGTGGAGTGGGAGCTCCTCCAGGTTCAAACACGCCACACTATTCACAACAATCGCCAAGCGCCGAAGGGGCATCTGGCACGCCTCAACAACCACTGCAACAGCCACCGCCAGCACTGCAAGCACAACAGCCATATGGATACTACGTGTATAACCAGCAACAGAATCCTCAACAACTGGACTACAGCTACAGTCGCTACCAGTACCCAGCAAACGCTCAACCATATTACCCACCCTCACAAGGCTCTCAGCAGCAATATGGAGGAAATAGGAGTTACGGTGGAGCATCTGCATCAACAACCTCGTCCATATCGCAACCTCAGCACGCAACACCATCTCATCAAGGTGCGCAGAGACAATTGCCCCAACAAGACACACTCAACCATGCATCAACATCAACAGTTGGCCAATATCAGCCACCGGGAATCAGACCAAGAGTGACGACAACAATGTGGGAGGATGAAAAGACCCTATGTTATCAAGTTGATGCCAATAACGTCAGCGTGGTACGTAGGGCTGACAACAACATGATAAACGGAACCAAGCTATTGAACGTGGCACAAATGACGCGTGGTAGAAGAGATGGTATTTTGAAACTGGAAAAGGTGAGGCATGTGGTCAAGATTGGATCGATGCATTTAAAGGGTGTGTGGATTCCATTTGAACGAGCATTGAGCATGGCGCAAAGAGAAAACATTGTTGATTTGTTGTATCCTTTGTTTGTCAGGGATATAAAACGAGTAATACAAACGGGAGTGACTCCGTCGTCGTCAAGTGGAAATGTCGGTGGTTCAAGTACCAATCCAGGTGGAGCTGCTACAAGTACCAGTTCAAAATCAAGTCCTTCAGTGTCGAAGTCTAGTGCCAAAGTCAGTGCCAATGCCAGTGCCAATGCCAATGCCACTGTTCTGTCACTGGCAGGGTCAGGAAGTGGTTACTATCAAGGGTATGGAGGAGCAAGCGCCGGATATCCACAACAATACACGTACCAGCAACAAAGCCAACAGGGACAACAAACGGCACAAGGACAAGACCCGTATCAGGGTCAGCAGTACAGCTACCATCAAGGTGGTTACTATGGCGCAGGTAGTGGTCAAGGCGCAGCAGTTGGAGGTGGAGCTTCATCATCGTCTTCATCTTCTTATCCATACCAGTACCCACAACCTCCACCCCAACAATCACAAGGATCTTACAGCAACTACGGAACCACTGCATCATCAACGTACCCCGCGCCAACTAGCACCGGGGCAGCTACCGCTAGCGGAGTACCCACTGGAAATGCTGGGTCGGGAAGCAGTGGCGCAGGTGGGGCGCAACAACACACACCACAACAGACAGCTAGTAGCGTAGGGGGAGTGCATGCATCACCACATCAACACGCGCAACAACTGCCTAAAGTTGGAAAGTAGAGACGGTAGAGAGAAGTGGGATAGAGGTGTGAGCTCTGCTAAAAGAATAGACCCTTGCATGACAGGCGCCGCTCCAAGGGCAATTAATATTTATAACACACATTTGATGCCATACATAGTTTGGAGATATAAGCATGTATAGCTTTTTTTTTTTTAATTGTAACATTATGAGAGAAACGACTAGCTGCTACACATTGACTAGCGTGTCAAGCCCTGACTTTGACAGTTCTGTCAAATCTGCGACACGTATCTTTCTGCGTTGAATCCCGGTGCATGCACATGCATATAACCTGCATACACTTGAACACTTACATAATCGAAGCTTCCTAGACTCTTTCATTATTAATCGATTGTTCAATAACCAATCGCTTTTGTTCTATCCACTTACTGGATTATTGTTCATGAGAACTAGACGAATGTCAGACAAGCGCCATCTTTGTTTGCAAATACAAAAATCATACGATTTTTTTTTTTTTGAAAATCTTTGTGTTGGCTGTGTACAAAGTCAGTTGTTCGGGATTACCCGAGGTACTGATCTTTCTGTGCTTTCTGTGCGCGTATATTCTACATATGCACAGTCTAAACAATAGCAAGCAAATTAGAGAAGCAAGTAGGACAAAACGCAGCAATTGAGCTTTACCCTTGATTTTCTTAATCCATAAAAGCATACCCGTTTCCTTTTTTTTTATGTAGCACAAGTCCACTTAGTAACCACGGGTGAAAAAAATATGGTGATGCTCATTCGCAATGAAAGTTTCATTTGTTTTGTTATTTTTGTGGAGGGCGCACCAAAGGCGGTTCATAACCGGAACTATACCAAGCACAGCGAAGAGAAACCCTGCATACAACGCTGCTGAATGGTAAGGCGCTTATGTAAGAGGTTATGAACCGGGAGCAAACATCGTACGATGTCCATTTGCTCCACCTTGTTCAAGACGTATGTCTCTTTTGTGAAAGTAGCAACGCGCGGATATAACACCGCAGGGATGTCTCGGCGGGTATTATTTAGTATGGTGCTCGAGGAAAACCGTCCGTTCCGAAAACCCTTTCGGAAGTAGTTTCCTTTCCAGCGCTGAAAAATATACATTGTGAGTAGTCCTAAATCTAAGATTAGACTCGCATTGCGTAAAGGCAGGGACAGAGCAACGGCTCTGCAGTACATTGCATTGACCTGCTTTTTTTAATTTTGACAGCTCTTTAAGTAGGGCGTCTATATCTAACGTTCGCTCAAGGCATGCACAAACCATCGTACATAATGAATAAAACAAAGGAACTACACAAATAAAATGCAAGGGTAGGGAAACATTTGCTCTATCTCCCTCGTCTATGTGACTATGTTGATGTCAGCGAACTTGCGGATAAAACTCCAGCGCAAAATATTTTTTTGTTTTCCTTTTATTTTTTTCTCCTTCTTGTTTTCCCCGCCCTGTAATTGTTATGCAATGTACAATGGGCAAATTTTTAAAGAACAAGAGTCGTGGTGATGTTAACATAGAGAGAATGTGGATGTACCAGTGTAGAGTAGAGAAATATATTGAGAGTGTGGCAGCATCTCCTGCTCTATTGTATTGCATGCACCATAGCTATGGCGTATCAAAATAAGAAAATGAGCGGCCTCAGCTTTTGAGCAAGAGGCTGCAAATCCCACACAGAAATTGTTTCAAGAGATAACGAAAATGTTGCAGAACCTTCCCCCCCCCCCTCCACCACTTTTCTTGATGATCCGCCTCTTCGTACGGCTTCTCTCCAGGCAAGGAACATGCTATTCCAATACTCCTTATCTCTCACTACTGTGCTTCAAGATGATAAGCGAATCTTGTTCCAAGACAAACTTTTTTTTTTTTCTTCCAATTTGTTCAATATTTTGCGCCTAATTCACACAATTTTTACTTGGCTTTATACACGGCACCAAAAATCGTGGATTCTCTGGAAAACGTGTAATGAGCGTGTTGGAGGGGGTTGTAGAGGCACAATATACATTGCTGAAATTACTTGAACTTCTTGCTATTGTTAGAATGAATTGCGAGCTGACGTTGAGTTTTTCTCTGTCCTTACTAGCAAACTCAAACAGTGTGAAACATCAACTAAGATGGAATCAGCCTTCAAAGCACAAGAAACTCCAGCGGAGCCACAACGTACGGCACTACAATAGGGAGATAACAAAGTACCCTAGCTGATGCCTCACTAGAGGGAAGATTATCCCCTTTTGGAATTTTTGCCAAGAAGTAGAATTATTTAATACCAAATATTATATTTCAATATAACATGATACTGTTACATCGTTTCAGAGTAACAGCAGTAGCCACCCGTCTCCGGTAAGACGCTAGATGAACAACCATGGAGTGCCAGACAATGGCCCCGCTCCCTCTTCATGAAATATATCTACGAGAACAGTTTCGCCAAGATAATTCAAAGAAACCCAGAACTTTATCATGACGTTGTTATCTATTGGAGCCACAGAAGGTGTACAGGGCGTGATATTACAACTGTTATCAGTGTTGGACAATGAAATATTTAAAGAGAAATTCTTGGTACACGGCTTATCTTCCACAAATATTCAAATCATGATGTTACTAGGGAGTAGTCCTATATAAAGAGATATGAACACTTCTTCCAATGAAAGTATTCTTCCTCTTTAAACAACACCGCTCCATCAACAATGTCAGAAAAGGGGCAAGTAAGGGCAATCTCATCCATCCGGTCAGTCAACCATGTGCTTGACACAGCAGATCACGAAATTGATTTACAAGCTATCCAATCCCAAGCCATCTCAGTTGGCGATGTCGGCACTTCTTTCACCGAGTTCCAAAAGCGGTTGATCTTGAAAAGAATGAATTTACACACAATTGTTGATCTTGGACACTTGCCACCTGTTGCTGTGTTCATGATTGAGAAAATTGCTGGCATGACAGTGGAGCAATCAATCAAGATTGTAAAAGAGGCAATCGTTGATCATGACGAAGACGTCAATATCCCCACCTCCGAGTTTGATTTTTGGGAAGAATTGGCTAAACCAAGCGAAGAACACGTCAGTGAGGAAGGTTCATCAAGCTCCACCACTTCGATAAACAAGACGCAAAGTGACAAGGAAAAGTGGGCGGAAAAGCAAAAAGTTTCCGAAGCCACCAGCGTTGGACAACTGGATGAAGAGGACCAAGACTTTGATTGCTTTAAGATTGTCGACTTCAACCTTCAAATTAGATTGGAAGCAGCTTTGATTGCATACTATTCACCTTACCCAGAAGTTAGAGCAGTTACTGACCCCTTTGATGACTCCTCCATCCCTTGTGAAACGTTTCGTGTGTACTTGCTTGGTATCATCTGGACCTGTATCGGAACCTTTATCAACCAATTTTTTGCTGAAAGACAACCTTCCATCAGCTTGTCATCAACTGTTGTTCAATTGTTTTTGTATCCTTCAGGTAAAATCCTCGAAAGAACCTTTCCCAAAAAGAGCATCAAGCTTGCAAAATGGCACATTGCTCTAAACCCCGGCCCATGGAACCACAAGGAGCAAATGTTGACAACAATCTTTTACAGTGTGTCCGCTGGGTTTTCGTACGTTAGTTACAACCTCCACGCGCAAAAAGTTGAACGGTTCTATAACAACCAATGGGTTGATTTTGGGTACCAAGTGTTGCTCACCATGGCCACAAACTACCTTGGTATTGGTTTTGCAGGACTTTTGAGAAGATTCGCAATCTACCCCCACAAAGCAATCTGGCCAACAATTTTACCCACCATTGCCTTGAACAAAGCGTTGGTGCAAGCCGAAACTAAGGAAAACATTCATGGATGGACCTTATCACGTTACAGATGGTTCTTTTTGGTATTTGCATTCTCATTTTGCTACAACTGGATCCCAACCTATTTTTTCAATGCCTTGTCTTACTTCAACTGGCCAACTTGGATCGCACCAACCAACACCACATTGGTTGCCATTACAGGAACTGCCTCTGGTTTGGGTCTCAACCCGTGGCCAACATTTGACTGGAACATATTGAACTTTAATGGATGTTTGATATACCCCTTTTATGCCCAGGTTAACCAATACATTGGTACCTTGTTTGGATTCGTGGTTATCGCAGCGTTATGGTTCACCAACTACAAGTGGACAGGATACATTCCAATCAACTCGGCATCCTTGTGGGACCGTTTTGGATCCATCTACTCAGTGGAAAACATTGTCAATGACGATACCTTGTTTGATCAAACAAAATACAATGAAGTTGGACCTCCATACTACTCGGCAGCCAATTTGGTTGTCTATGGTGCTTTCATTGCAATCTACCCATTTTCAATAGTGTATGAAGTGTTTATGAACAGGAAGCCAATCTGGTCAGCAATGAAGGGCTTAACTCGTGGATTCAAAAACTTCAGAGGCTCCGTGTACGAAGGTTTCAATGATCCACACACTGTCATGATGAAAAAGTACAAGGAGGTTCCCGACTGGGTATTTGCTATTGTGTTGGTAATTTCGATTGTATTGGCAATCATTTGTGTTCAAATCTATCCAGCACAAACACCTGTGTGGGGTATCTTCTTTGCTGTTGGTATCAACTTTGTTTTCCTTATCCCATTAACGGCAATCTACTCCACTACTGGTTTCTCATTTGGGTTGAATGTGTTGGTGCAATTGATTGTGGGGTTTGCGTTACCAGGTAATGGGTTGGCTTTGATGTTTATTAAAGCATTTGGTTACAACATCAATGGTCAAGCACAAAATTACATTTCCGACCAAAAAATGGGTCACTATCTCAAAATACCACCAAGAGCCGTTTTCAGAACGCAAATGTTTTCCATTTTGATTTCTTCTTTCCTTGGTTTGGCCGTGCTCAATTTCCAAATCGACAACATTGCCAACTACTGTGCCCCCAACAACACACAAAAGTTTACATGCCCCGGTGCCACAGTGTTTTATAACGCCTCCATCTTGTGGGGTGTCATTGGTCCCAAGAAGGTGTTTAGTGGGTTGTACCCCATGTTGCAGTGGTGCTTCTTGATTGGGTTTGTGTTGGCATTGCCTTGCATTGCATTCAAAAAGTATGGTCCTAAAAAGTATACCAAGTACTTTCAACCAACATTGATGGTTGGTGGATTCATCTTCTATGCTCCATACAACTTGTCCTTCTACACCGGTGGACTATACATGTCGATTGCATTCATGTGGTATTTGAAAAGTAGGTACTTGGCATGGTGGCAAAAGTACAATTTTGTCTTGTCGGGAGCCATGGATGCCGGGGTTGCATTTAGTGCCATCATTATATTCTTTGCGGTGCAGTACAACGATAGGTCGTTGAATTGGTGGGGAAATACTGTGATGTGGAACGGCATCGAAGGAATGGGAGGCCAAGGACGATTGGATGCGGCTAATGCCCCAGACGGTTACTTTGGATTGAGACCAAACCAATGGCCATGATCTGTAAAGTGTGTAGTAAGAAGCAACTCTTGAAGTGTGAATCTCATGTAGCAACACCAAAGCGAAGACTCTATTAACCTAGTGCTAGAATCTCAATCTCTTTGCGTGTTTGTTGGAGCAATGTTTGCCAGTTTGTGATTGGTGCTTAGGAACGTTTTGTGTTGTACTTGCCTATTGCTCTGTTGCTCTGTTGATAATGGAGACACAGACGCGTCAAGGAAAAGAATCTTTTTTTTTTTTTTTTTTTTTCTTTTCGTGGTTGAGAGATATCAACAAAACAAAACACAACTTTACAACAGATACCCTCATTCAAGCAACAGAGCATACTACAAGAGGCAGTCCTGTTGATACGTTGACACAACACTACCCTCCTGATGTACATAACACCCAATCAATACTTTGCAACGTATCGAGATTTGAAACGGACGTCACTATCCCATTCAACATGTAAGCTAGTCATTTTCGTATCTTGTTTGGACGTTGATTCACTATGCGCTGCCAAGATGTTTAGCTTGCTACTAAAAAAGGAATTGATTCAGTATCAGCTTCTTCCAGTGGTTGGATACAAGGACCTTAAACTACATTACGATAGGCTAGATGACGAAGTGAGCAATGTCGTATTGATTGGATGTGGAGCAATGTTGGATATCGAAAATTTCTTGGAAGTCAACCCCGAGGAGTTGTTGGATGCTACTGCTGAGCAGCCAGAAGATGAACAAGACTTGAATGATGTGAAACAGAACCAGTTTAAACGGAAAATATATGTTATTGACGGACACAGACCGTGGAACTTGGACAACCTATTTGGGTCGGAAGTTGTGGTGTGTTTTGACGATGGATATATTGATGGCGCATTGCTGGAGGAGAAGAAGGCTTATGAAATTTTGATCTTGGAGGATGAGAATGAGTCAGAATCTGGGTCCGATTCCAGTAGCGATGAAGAGATTGACGAAGAAACAGATGTGGATATTCCATCAGAGAGTGAATTGGTAATCAACTCTCTGGATTCGGAAGAGACAGCCACTCGCAAAAGGAAGCTTCAAGAACGTCACTCTCGACAACTCAAGAATCAAAAGAAGCAAAAGAAATCAGTTAACGAAGACAGGTTGCAATCATACTACAATCAAGGTTCGACAATAAGCACGGCCAACACCATCACCGTTTATGCCCTTCTTACAGCAATAGGTGAGACCAACTTGGAGAGTTTGTGGATTGCAATCATTGGAATCTCGTCCTTGGATAGTCATTACCCTGAGATTTACGATAAACTACAACCACTCCTCAAAGAGGAGGTGATGCGATTGAACCCAGAGCATGAGAATACCAAAAAGAAAGCTGACCAGACAATATTACGGGTTGAGCGAGACTATCAGTTGTTTCTACTACGGCACTGGACTCTCTACGACTCATTCTTTTACTCAAGTCATGTAAATTCGAAATTGAACTTGTGGACTGATGAAGGGAAAAAGAGACTTCACAAGCTATTTGCCAAGATGGGGGTGTCTCTTGCGGTTGCACAACAAAAATGGTTGTACATGGATACAAAAGTCAAGCGACAATTGCCGATCATATTTCGTCGCTACTTGCCGATTTACGGGCTTGAAGGTATAGTGCGGGAAGGATTCATCAAGACCTATGGCTACACTGGTCTGCTTTCCGCGATGGAGTGTGTTGAGGCGTTGAGTGCACTACTCGAATTGGATGAAAAGTTTATCCAAGAGTCAGCAAAGTTGAATGAAGAGGATAACAAGACTCTTGACAATGAAAAAGACAAGATAAGAAAAAGAATGGAGAGGAAAGAGAGTTCGTGGGTGAACAATTTCTGGTCTTCATGGGATGCACTCAATGTGACAAAATCTTTGAAGACGAGTGCTAATCAATCATCGTCACCATTTGCCAAATTAAAAGGAAGTGAACTCCTCTTTCGAGGTCTAGAATATGCCAAGCAACTACAACAAATAACTTTTCGAACTGGGATGTCCTTACTCGAGCGTAAGATGATCAAAAACTTGAAGCTTTATCGGTTATGCGTGTTGAATGACGGGGCGGTTCCTGATTTGGAGATATTCATTAACCCGCTAATGTTGTCGAAATTGGGAACATGGTTGATTGAAAACTTGGCCGAATTGGATTTCATCAATGGGAATCACTCTTTGAAACCGTTGGTTGTTGCGAGTTTGGATGTAACCAGCGACACTTATCTTGTTATTGGTCTTGCACCAAGATACCCACGAGGAATGAGCAACTCTGAAAAGGCAAAGTTGTTGCAAGAGCAAAGTAACAACAAAATCACAGCAGAGTCAATGACAACACATTTGAACACATTCAGTGTCGCGTTCCAACAGTTGTCAAGCACGTCAGGAGCCAAAGTGCGTGTCGACAGCTTTGATAGTTCAATAATTGAAATAAGAAAGGACGATTTGGCACCGTTTTTGGAGAAACTTACATTGAGTGGGCTCATATAGAGAGTTGTCAGTGTATAGTAATCATCAAAGTCGTAAAAAGAGATACTTATCACGTGTTTTCTCTAGATCCCCCAAAAAACTTGTTGCACTGTATTATGGTGTCCCCCACACCGGACTGCAGATCTTGTCAGTCAGAGGTGTTGAGTAGATTGGCGAAACAGCCGATTGGCTTTCTGCGGTAAATTTAGAGAGGTGTCATTAGACACAAAATGCTTACGGAAAGGATGGAATTTACCCCACATATTCGACTCAAATAGCCCAATAATTGAACCGATCAGGGAAGCTCTTTCGATTTAGGTTGCTGTTTTTATATGCCGGTGGTTAAAAAAAAGAAAAAAAAGAAAATCTCTCGCAAAGTTGACCACGTAATTAAGCTTATTGTTTTCGGAAAAACTCTCGTGACTTCGGACCAAGTCTTTCTTGCAAAATACCATGAGCTGTATACACACACACACAAGATCATATCAAAAGAGCATAGAGAATCATAGTAAAAGCTCTCTTCCTTATCGCGGTGGCTGCGTTTACCCCAGACTGTGTTGAGGGTTGGGGTCTAAATTTTGGTTTGTAAGCCATTCCCCCACGCTCCCCCACTCTTCCCCACCTTAAATTTGGGGGATTGGGGGATTTTGCGAGATTTCCCTCACAAACAATACAACGTGAGGAAAGGAGAGACAAGGGCCAGCTCACACAAGTTGCGACACAAAGAAGAGAGCTTCGGATATCTTGTCTACGATCTCATTGTAGTGTGATTCTCTCGAGGGTGATGACACTATGGAGTATTTCAAGTGAAATACCCGATACGGCTGAGAAGAGGAGCCCGAACTCAGTGCATATCAATAGTGACACACACACATTCCACAATCGCCCAATGGACGTTTGTCCGTTTAGGCAATCTCACACTGTCCCGAAACAGACGTCCCGTTGTGGTTGCACGCAAGCCGGCGTCCGCCCCAAATGCCCAGAAATACTCCGGAAAGCACCAATAGGAACAATAAAAAAAGAAATTTTCAACAATAAGATCCCTTTTTGTTTTTATTTTTATTTTTTTTTTTGTGACGCAAAAACCGGCAGAGAATGCCTCCAAAAGTCACCAACAAAAAAACGTAGACCTTTTTTTAAACCCAGCAGCACAATATACTCTAGTGATGAATATTGCAAACAAAATTGTTGTTTTAAGCTGAAAAGAATAACCCCCCTCCCCCTTCCCCTTAGTGACTGCAAATGTTATATAAATAGCCCAAAGAAAGAACCCAATCTAACCATTTTACCACATTCACACATCCACTTTACTACAATGACCAACGACATTAGGAGCATCAACACCAACATGTCTGATGCGAAATCAGACAAAGAGTCTATTCACACCATGGAGTCGGTCCAAAGCAAGCAAAAATGGAGGAACAGGCTCAAGGTCAAGAACATCTTTGAAAAGATTGAAGATAGACCTACTCCTCCTCAAGTCTACAACTACAGAGTCTACTTGACTGCAGTCATGGCTTCAGCTGCGGCTATCATCATCGGTTACGACAGTGGGTTTATTGGTGGAACAGTGGCCCTCGACTCGTTTAGAAAAGAATTTGGTTTAGATGTTGCTCCCAATGAAGCTTACATCACCTCCAACGTTATCTCGGTCTTTCACGTTGGCTGCTTCTTTGGTGCTTTATTCTCGTATCCAGGCTCGTACTATTTTGGAAGAAGGATCCCTTTGATTGCCGCTGCGTTGTTGATTACAGTCGGTTCAGGCATCATGCTTGCTGCCAAAGACTCAGTTGGACTTGGACCCATCTACGCTGGTAGGGTGTTAGCAGGACTAGCTGTTGGATGCTCAACGAACTTGACAGTTGTTTACATCTCCGAAATATCGCCACCAGCAATCAGGGGCCAGTTGACAGCAAGTTACGAAATTGGATGGCGAGTTGGGGATCTAGTTGGATTTTGGATCAATTACGCAGTTGACACAACAGTTACACTGGGGAGAAAACAATGGATGATACCATTTGCAATTCAATTGATCCCAAGTGGGTTGTTTTTACTCGGAAGTGTATTCATGAAAGAAAGTCCCAGGTGGCTAATGCAAGTTGGGAAATACGAACAAGCAGTCAAGAATTTAACATGGTTTAGACAACTACCAGAGACTGATGAGTATATCATTTACGAAATCAATCAGTGTAAAGAAAGCATTGAGGAGCAAAAGCGCAAGGTTGGTTTGGGAATCATGGACCCATTCTATGAGGTGGTGTTTCACAATAGAAACTTGTTACACCGTCTATTCATCACAGTTATGTTGTTCCAGTTTTGCAATTTCATGGGTATCCAAGCTATCAACTACTACTCACCAAAGTTGTTCAGTGGATTGGGTGTAAAAGGTGTCAACGCATCCTTGTTCTCAACAGGAATGTTTGGTGTTGTCAAGTTTTTCTGCACTTTTTTCTACATCTTGGTGCTTGTGGATACTGTTGGCAGGAGACTTTCGTTTATGGTATCGTCGGGGTTGTGCTCGATATGCTTTTGGTACATTGGTGCGTACTTGAAGGTTAATGACCCTACAAAACCAGGAGTCCTGGCTGGTCCAGGAGGTAAAGCTGCCATCGGAATGATGTACATCTGGATTGCGTCGTTCATTTCTGCATGGTCGGGTGGACCTTTCGTTGTTGGTAGTGAAGTCTTTGATCAAAACATTAGGTCTTTTGTGCAAGCAATCAACGCTGCATCTTCATGGGTGGCCATATTTGTCATGTCTAGATGGACCCAAACAATGATCAAGAGCATGTCCTATGGAATATATTTCTTCTTTGCTTCGTTAGCTTTGTTGTCTATTCCGTTTGTTTACTTTCTTTTACCGGAAACAAAGGGTATTGCGTTGGAAGACATGGACAAGCTTTTTAACAGAAATATTCCAGCTAGAAAAGCACACAAGATCGTATTGAATAGTGTCAAGAACGAGAACGAAGAGATCTTCCTTGAGAACCACCAACATGGCTTGTTCAAGATGGATACAAACAAGCCAGAGACTGAGAATGTGGAAAATCTTTTTGAAAAACAGGAAAGAGTCTAGATAGTTTATAGGGTAGGTAGAAATGGGTTTCTTTTTTAATTTACGTAGCCTGAGTAACTTGGCCATAGTGGTGTTGTCAAATGCCCACAAACTGTACTGTACACCAGATATTACTACCGCATCGTTCTGCGCGGCTAGGTCTCTGCTGCTATTTCCGGGAATTTCGAGTTGCCGCTGACCCGCAACCGGATCATTCCTTTTGTGTAATAATTGGATCCTATAACATTACATTCAGTCATTGCAGTTTTTCTCTCTAACCCCCTCCCCCGTGCTTTTTACTCTATTCATCTCTAGTCATACAACATGTCAAACGGCCACCACTTTGACGAGTCATCTGACAATGACCAAGAGTCCATTCTTGAGTTTGAGAGATTGGAGTCCACTTTACCTCCAGCATTGAAAAGATCAGCTTCCTCATTGTTGGAAGCAATTCAATCGACACCAACTCCGGGATTCCAAAGCAACCCTCACATTCAACAGGACCACCTGATTAGATCTCCACAACCGCAGCATCCAAGGGAATTGGTCACACCCTCAGGAACACCTGGCTATCAGACAATCCCCGGCAGAAGCACCGCAGCAACACCTAATTTGAAAAATGCTAGTCATAGACAAACCATTATCAACAGGTTGTCCAAGTCAGAGAATGGAAGAGAAGCCTCCCCCATTCCATTGCCCAAACCAAAGTTTGATGAAAACATCTTCAAGCCAGCTATGAATTCGAAAAACTCATCCACCGGTGTACTTTGGGCCACTGAGAGGGCAGCAGAATATGGGTACGATTCGGAGCATGTTGGAGAGTGGGCAAACTTGGGTCAGGGTGCCCCAGAGCATGGAGACACTGTTCCAGGATCCTTCCCTAGACCAAAGACTATCAATGTACCAGACTGCTCCAGGGAATATGCACCAACTGCCGGTATCAAGGAATTGAGAGAAGCTGTGGCCAACTACTACAATGAAACATACAGAAGCAAAAAGTCCAGCAAGTACACATACAAGAATGTGTGTATTGTGCCAGGAGGTAGAGCTGGATTGACCAGAATCGCATCGATTATCAGCGATTGCTACTTGTCATTCTTTTTACCAGATTATACAGCCTACGCTGAAATGTTGTCATTGTTTAAAAACTTTTCACCAATCCCCGTCCCACTAAAGGAAGCTGACAATTATGAAATTCACTTGAAGATGATCAAGGAGGAATTGACAAGAGGTGTTAGTGCTTTATTGACTTCGAATCCCAGAAACCCGACTGGGCATTGTATGAAGGCTGAACAATTGCATCAACTTCATAACATGTGTCGTGAAAAGTGTTTGTTGATTATGGATGAGTTTTATTCACATTACTATTACGACAGTGGGTGTGATGGATCGTCAATCAGTTCCGCTGAGTTTGTCGAAGACGTGAATCGTGACCCGGTTTTGATTTTGAATGGGTTGACAAAGGCATTTAGATTGCCCGGATGGAGAATCTGTTGGATCTTGGGACCTGAAGACTACATCAGTGCCTTATCGTCAGCTGGTTCCTTCTTGGATGGGGGCTCAAATGCACCCTTCCAATACGTGGCAATCGATTTCTTGAAACCCCTCAAGGTCAAACAAGAGATGAGAGCTTTGCAATTGCACTTTAAGATGAAAAGAGACTATATCATTGAAAGATTGTCCAAGATGGGATTCAAGTTTAATGAAAAGAATACACCAAACTCAACATTTTATCTCTGGCTTAATTTGTCTCACTTGCCGGGAAAGCTTAGCAACTGTTTGGGCTTCTTTCACGAGTGCTTGCACGAAAGAGTCATTGTTGTTCCAGGATTTTTCTTTTTGATAAATCCACAGAATTTGAGCCATTTAGAGGAGGTCATTTGGTATAACTACGTGAGGATCAGTTATGGACCTGAGATGCACCACTTGGTGAATGGTATGGATGGCATTGAGCGTATCTTGGACAGATTTGGCTGTTTACCTTACAAAATTGAGTAGACTGTGTGTATAGTAGTGTAGTGGAAGCTTTTTAGAATCTTGTGATTGGTCGGCGGTAGCGCAGTAAATCGATTTTCAACTCTTTTAGCAAAAGGTACACTGAAAAAAAAGCCAAGAGCGCAATAACAATATAAGCTCTTCACCTGATAGAACTGGCAAGCAAAGAGATGGAACTGCCTTCAGGAACATACAGCGTACAGAATGAGGTCTCCCCTTTCATGGAGTTCCTCAACATGACTGGACTATTGAAAATACCAAAACTAATCGTTCACCTTCTTGCCATGAACTTTGAAATCAGCTTGCATATATCATCTATTCTTATCACAGTTGCGGTCATCGCCATCATGGTACTACTAGTCATACGATACAAATACCTCACTGGCTACTCAAAGGATCTAGATAAGAAAAAGACACCTAAAGGCTCTTCCTCCACAAGAAGTCTGAACATCGAGAAACCACAAAAGTCAGCAAGCCTCTTTGTCGAGAAGCGAAAGGAGGAGAAATCAAGTAACTACCTCGACGAATTTCTTGCGGCGATCAAAGTGTTTGGGTATTTGGACAAGGCGGTGTTTCACGAATTGACAAAAAGCATGACTACACAAAAATTGTCGAGTGAAGAGGTGTTGTGTCTTGATGAAGAGATCGGGTTTCTGATTGTTGTTGAAGGAACTGCTCAAGTATATACCAAAATATCGAAGCGAAGTCTGTTGACGGACCACGGAATCAAGGGCAGTACGGGGAATGATGACGGAATTCCGGATTTTGATGACTACCAGGAAAACGGGGACTTTTTCAAGCTTGGAGACCAAACGTATCAGCTCCTTAATGAAGTCAAAAGCGGTGCCCCATTAAGTTCGTTAATATCAACATTGGAGCTTTTCAAACCATCCAAGAGAAATCCCATCTTATCACCAAATGGGCCCGTACTAACACCAAACGGAGACTCGAGAAATGGTGTCGCGTTGAACCTTGACTACTTGGGAAAACCGGCGGATGCCATAAAATCCAGGGACGAGGAGGATGACTTTGAGAGCAAAGTTTATTCCAACATTATTGTTCGCCCAAAAAGAAGGAAACACACAGACACCATGACAATTGCCATAATTCCACATTCAGCTTTTGAGCGGGTGCAAATGAAGTATCCTAAGGCAACGTCGCATATCGTGATGATGGTGTTGACGAGATTGTACAAAGTCACCATGAATACAATTCACAATTATCTAGGGTTGACGGGAGAAATATTCAAAGTTGAAGTTGAACTAAACAAGTCGACGAATTTGGGGTTGCCCAGTTACTTGGTGGATGGGCTCGTTGAGAGGTTGAAGCTGGGCAGCAACAGTTCCAAGAAACGTTCCAAGCAACATAAGCGGAGCCCTCTCGAGAGAACGTCCTCACGATATGTTTTGCTTAACTCCAAGGTGAAAAGTAACAATCCGGGTGATTTGTTGTCATCAGTGCCGATATCTCGAGACGATCCAAATCAAAGGGGTTTTAAATCGTCGTACACGGTGTTGGCTGACGAGAGTAAGCGATTCAACTTTACTGACAATATTGAAGAAACGGAAGAAAATTCATTGAGAGTTGCGATTATTGAAAACATTTTCAACTTTGTTGGTATCGACAGCGAAACCAACAATGTGTATGAACTGAACCCCTTCCTGAGCTTGAATTCATCCGCCAATAGTTCTGCGTTAGGGCTCAACAGTTTCTCGAGTGGCTCTACGCCAAACCCGATGTACCACAATGTGTTGAAGTTTGATCACAATGAAAATTTGATGAATACCATCAATTTGAATCAGCTTAATAAAAAAATGTCGCCACCAACCAGTAGGCCAGCATTGCAAAAAGCTCTCAAGAAAAGAGTTGTGCCCAGCGAGATGAATATCAAAGACGCTTTTGCAAAAGTGTTGGAGTTGAAGTATATTGAACCAGACACAACTGTTGTGCAACAAGACTCGACATCGTGTGGCTTGTTTTATGTCATTGATGGATCGTTGGAAGTACACTACAAGGACTCGGAAAAGTATGGACAGCACACAAATTCAAAATACATCTATTCGGTCAGCCCTGGAGGAGTTGCCGGGTACTTATCATGCGTGGTGGGATTTCGTTCGCTTGTTTCAATCAAAACGCCCAAGAGGTCAGGAGCGGTAGTTGCATTTATTGCCAAGAACGACTATAACAAATTGCTTGACATGTTTTACTTTTTGCAATTACCAGTCGCTATCAAGTTGAAAAACCTTTTGCCAAAAGAAATCTTGACGATTGATTATGCGCTTGAATGGTGTCACATTCCTGCCGGAAATGTCTTGTGCTCGCAGGGCGATTTGGCAAATGGTTTCCACGTCGTACTCAGTGGCCGCTTTAGAGTAGTTAAAGCAAACAAAAAGAAAGGATCAGAGAACGAGGAAGTGGAAGTGTTGGGTGAATATGGCCACGGTGAATCCATCGGCGAGGTTGAGGTATTGACCGCTTCAAGAAGGACAAACTCGCTCATTGCAGTGAGAGACTCGGAAACAGCTCGAATCCCCAGAACTTTATTTGAGCTTCTCTCATTTCAGAATCCAGCAATAATGGTCAAAGTTTCACGTTTGGTGGCGGCAAAAGTACTCTCCTCTGAGAAGAATATCGTTCAATCAGCGCACAATTTTGTTACATCGTCTAGCAGTGAAAACTTTATTTCTGCCGATTACAAAACAATCACCATTCTTCCTACAGTATCAGGATTACCAGTGAGAGAATTTGCCGATAAATTAGTGCATGCGTTGAAAGCTATTGGTCGAAACGTTATCGCTTTGGATCAAGCGCTGACTTTGACGCATTTAGGCAGACATGCGTTCGATGAGAGCTTGGCACGGTTGAAATTGTCAGGCTACTTTGCTTACTTGGAAGAAGAATATGAAACTATTGTATACGTTTGCGACACACCAGTCCAGTCGCGTTGGACGTCAACTTGTATATCGCAGGGAGATTGCATTTTGTTGTTAGCTGACGCAGATGATGAGTCTACAGCCATGTCAATTGGGGAGTATGAACAGTTGTTAATAAAGTTGAAAACAACGGCAAGAACCGATTTGTGTTTGATCCACCCTGACAAGTACGTTGTTTCTGGATCCACAAGCCAGTGGTTGAAGAATAGGGTATGGGTGCAAGGCCATCACCATGTTCAAATGACCATGGAAAAACACAATGAATCATTGGGGCCTAGTAAGAAATCATTCATTAGCGATTTGGCAGCTAGATTTTCCCAAAACAATTTGATCATTTCCAAATTTGAAGAAGCAACCACCAGGGCTATAAAGAGGATTCGTAGAGATCAGCATGAGGACATTACATTAAAGTCACACAAGAATGACTTTTTACGTCTCGCAAGAATCTTGTCGAACGAAGCTGTTGGGCTAGTGTTGGGGGGTGGTGGATCAAGAGGCATTGCACATGTTGGTGTTGTTACAGCGTTGGAAAGACACGGTATCCCTGTTGATTTAATTGGTGGGACCTCTATAGGTTCCTTTGTTGGAGGATTGTACGCTAGGGATTACAACATTGTCTCAATTTATGGTCGAGCAAAGAAATTTTCAAAGAGAGTTGCATCATTATGGAGAATGGCACTCGATTTGACTTACCCAGTGACTTCGTACATCACCGGTTACGAATTCAATAGAGGAATATGGAAAGTGTTTGGGTTTGTTGAGATTGAAGATTTTTGGGTCAAGTATTTTTGCAATTCAACAAACATAACAAACTCAACAATGGATATCCACGAGTCTGGCTATGCCTGGAGGTTTATCAGAGCATCCATGTCCTTGGCGGGATTACTTCCACCTATAGCCTTCAAGGGATGCATGCTTTTGGATGGTGGGTACTTGGACAATTTGCCCGTGATGGAAATGAAACGACGTGGAGCCAAACATATAATTGCTGTGGATGTAGGTTCAGCTGACGATAGAACGCCAATGAACTACGGTGACACATTGAGTGGGTTCTGGGTTCTTTTCAATAAGTGGAATCCATTTTCAAAACATCCCAATGTACCCAACATGATGGATATACAAATGAGATTGACATATGTTGCTAGTGTCAATGCTTTAGAGGAGGCAAAGAGAGCACCGGGAGTTTATTACTTACGACCACCTATTGACAACTATGCCACGTTGGATTTTGGCAAGTTTGACGAGATTTATCAAGTTGGGCTAGGATATGCCGACAAGGTGTTCACCGAATGGGAAAGTAAAAAGCAATTGCCCGAGATTGCTGGGTTTGTCAATCAAGATAAGATGAAGGATTTTGGAGAGAAAAAGATCATGTATAGAAGAAACTCAATCTAGTGTAAATAAAGAAGCACTTGCATTTACTTTTTGTCTATCTACAATATGTACGCTAATCCGGGTTAAAGTTGAGTTTCTGTTGTCCAGTCGAATGTGCCTTGTTGATATCAACCAATGACTTGTAAAAATCAACCACTTTTGGATGCGATCGCACCTTGTGCTCATTAAAGTTTAAAACTTGGAGTCCATCTCGCGAGGTTGCACGCGACAATGCCACATACGATTGCCCAGTTTCAAAAACACTCTTCAAATCCACTTTGACACGGGACAATGTTTGGCCCTGTGATTTGTGTATGGACAAGGACCAAGCCAACATTAGCGGAAATTGCACTCGAGACACAAGCGCTCGCCCGTCTTCATCCTCCACATTCCATTGCTCTGGCTCAACTAGCACTGTCCTGCTATTCACTCCGTCAGGCGATAAAAACTTGACCAAGGGAAACTTTCTATTTTTGAAATCACCCAATAGATCATTATTCAATTCAGTTTTCCTATCGTCTGTCAGTTTACCGTCGTGGGTCACCACTTTTTGTGTAAGGGACCCTGTAGTCAAACCAATACTCGAGTCAGGATCATTAAATATAAAATCTTTCAATTTACCCTCGTCATCGAGGTGGTCTCCTTCCTTGAACGCCTTCATATAAGTGTCCTTATCGATGAAATCAACAACGGTGCCCAAAGAGCCGTTGACAAGAGTCTCGTCAAAGTTTTTAACACACATCACTTGGGCGTCTTTCTTCAATTCAAGCTCCTGTGGAGCTAAAAAGTTCAGTAGCAAGCTTGATTTTTGGGGTTCCGGCAACGACCCTGAATCTATTGCTCGGTAACTAACCTTTTCACCCGGAAGTGCATCCAATCGACGCTTATTAGCCCTTTCAACTTCGTTTCTCGTTGCAAAGAGCTCGGCAGGCAGGATTCCAGCAGGACACTCCAAAGGCCGTGCCAATCTTCTAAACTCGTCAACAGTTCTATCTGAAATCCGTCCATCTCTCATTTCATTCAACATATTGATGAAAACCTGATCCCCCTTTTGTCTAAATATCTCCTTCAAAATGATTGTCTCTTGAATGGTTTCCTTCCAAGCCAAGCATTCGAATGAAAAGAATGCCTCCACGTCATCTCTGGTGTCGCCTTCGGCGTTGATTTTCTTCACTACCGGAGGGAGTTGATAAAAGTCACCGCAAGCAACTAACTGAATTCCACCAAACGGCACGTCATTTTTCCGCAATCGTTTGGCTATTTCATTCAATTTATCAAGCAATTCTCCATCAACCATTGACACTTCGTCAATAATCAAAACCCTCGTGTCCCTCCACCGTGCATGAGCTTTCTTGTTTCTTTTAATCTTTTTAACCAAGTTATCAACAGTACCAGTTCCCAATCCAATAGCACCAAAACTATGTAGCGTTATCCCACCAATATTACAAGCTGCTAACCCCGTGGACGCAGTGACTGCAACCCCAGTGGGGTATCTGCGCCTTAATGCTTTGATTATCGACCGGAGCAAGACTGATTTACCAGTACCCGCAGAGCCAGTATAGAACAAAGATACTCCCAGTAGGACTTTTTGAAGGACAACCTCTTGCTCCTTGGATAAAATGATTGGTTGCACCACTTTCTTTGCATGCTGACACTCCGGGGTTTTGCTTTTTTCAACTGTGGGTCGTTGGGTTGCTAAAAGGATAGTGTGGTGATTAACGGGGGTCTTGCTAGGCTGTTCTAATCGTGGGACTGTTGAGTAGTTGCGAGATTGAGGTCTTGCAGGCTTGTAGGGTTTATATGCGAATGACGAAATTCTGGTAGATGGACGCGCAAACGTCTCTGGTGGTGAAATCTTTTCAGTGATGTTTGCAGGATTCTCTAATGCAACCTCATCAACAGGGGAGCTTTCCGGTTGCGAAGGTTTGGCTTGTGACAGCTGCGAGTCTGGACCTCTTGGAGGTGATGATGATGATGATGATGATGTTATAATGAACTTGCAAACTCTACTTCTCGCTGGAGCTTTTACTGGCTGTGTTTGAGATTGCAGTGTGGTACTCCTCTTGAGCTCCGGCGACAGCTGCGATGGCGAAGAAGCCAGCCGCTTAATTGAAGTAGTGTACGTCGCATGTGGAGGTGATTCTTTTTGCGGTGATTGCGAATGCAATTCAGCATCGTCAAGCATAGCCAAAACCTCGTCATCGTTCTCACTAAACTCAAACGCGTCACTGCTGGTTAGACTTTCAGTGAAGCTATCCTCGTCAAGCTTTTTCTCATCCTCATATTCATTCTCCTCCTTGATTACTTCCGATGCAGGATATTTTTCTACCTTGTGATCGCTGCTAGGTTGGTATTGTAATAGACTTGCAAGCTGGGTGGTGTCGCTGAACTCAAACGACGCCTGCATCTCCTCCACTTCTTGACGTGAATCCTTCCTCTGTGAGTCCAAAGCAACAACTGCTCGCTCGACATCTCCCAGCGGTGTCTTTCGCAGCGCCGGTAGACTTTCAGTGAATTCAAATGAGTCATTGAGTCCAACCACGTGATCATCGACCTTGGCACCCTGCAGCACAATTGGTTCCGGAACATAGTTCATCGCTAGATCATCTAGATCTGCATCATCAAAGTCGTCATTCCTCTTGCTTGCATTAGCTGGATCGGTTCCTTTACTGCTTGACTCATCTCCAAAAGAATCATCAGAGTCAATTCCGTCCAAAACCTTGCTGGATCCAGAAGGAGTTCCTCCAGTCATGGGTCCTTTGGAATACGTCTGATTCAGTATGGCGTTTGAATACTTCTGAAACAATCGCTTGTGGACTTTAAACTGTGTTGTGTACGCGTGTATATATCGTGGTGTGATTTTGTTGTTTGTTGCTGTTCGTAGAGCTGTTGGTAGTATTCTCATGTAATCGTTGGCTTCTTGTACAGGCGCAGTAGTCTCATGCAGTGGATCACCTTGTACTTTGATGCGTGTATTGGTCTAATGAAGAAGGTATGCTTAAAGTTTGTTTGGAAAATCCGGATGAAACCCTTTTCAAACCTTTGGCGTAGGTTTTGAATCACGCGCAGAGAATATTTTACACGCGCATTGAACTGATTTGCAATATGCCATGTATAGGGTGCAGAGGTGTTTTCAAGAGATGTACTTAACGTCCACATCACAGCAAGAGGCCTTTTAAAAAATAATCATCCAGATTCCAATATACCATTTGTCTACTTATTTGCACCTATAGCCCATCCTAATCCAGAAACAAACAAGTTGGACAACTTTTCACCAGCCTTATCAGGGAGTCTAGCCATGTTTAGTTCAACTTGACTCACAACTGGTCCTTTCAAATCAGTCCTATTTTCAAACCCAGCAAATTTGAGCTTATCAAAATCCACATTGTCCTTCTCAATCTGGTCATTAAGCCTATTCCATTGATCCAAGACAATCTTTACATGCCCATCACAATCAATCTTTTGCAAAGTCTGTGACAATATTTCCCTCTGTTTGATCATGGTTTCCAATTTATCAGCTTCACCTTCCTCATCGATCCAATTTGGTGACACGTATTTCCCCACTTGGTAGAAAGTGAGCCAAAACTCATCAATGCTAGGTGATTTTGAGAAATGATCAATCAATTCCATGCTTTGCTTGTAAGCGTAAGGGAAATTGTTATCAATCAACGCACTCTCAATACAAGCACTTTTCAACCTATTGAAACATCCGTTGGTATCAGATCGCTCTGATTCGTCCTCATTAAAATACAACAACAAGTCATTCAAAACACGAAACAATTTTTCAAATGCCAAGTATGATTTTGGATTATATTCGAGGATCATCATTGCTAGTGTAATACATTGTTGTTCATGCTTTTGATCTCCATCGGTCGAAGATTGTAGTAAATCCTTTGGCGTGAATGGTTTCCTCTTGTCATAAACCAACTTGAAATTCTTGATGGAGTTTATTGCTCTGAAGAGATGCTTGTAACGAACAATGTCTCTGCGACTCCGTTCGCTCAACCCATTAGAGCGTGATAACTTTTCAAGAAGCTCGAAAAGTTGTTTGGCATGATGCAACGACCCAATATTTTCATTGAAATTTGTCGCTTGATTAAATCTTTCCCAAAATGTCTCCACTACTAAATCATAAATCTTTTGCGGCGCAAGTTGGAAATATCCATCTTCGTAAAGTGTATTAACAACCTGATGCAAATTTGCACTTAAAAGTCTTTCCAATAGAACAGAATCAACAGCAGGCTTTTGATCACTGGTAACAAACTCGTCTTCAAAAACACGAACCAAATGGATCAATTGTTCCCAATTTGAGCTGGATATACTTGACGTGATAACAGCAACCTCTTTCTGGAGATCTACTGCGCCAATGTTGAATTTGTATTCGAGGTATGTTTTCAATGTGAGTTTGTTCAATGGGTATAATCGTTGACAAGTTTTTAAAGCTTGAATTAAGAAATGCGTTTGAGTGGGGTTGAACAACGATGACAAGGGGTTACTATCCTGTAGAAAAGCGTCAAAGTTGTCGAAATGTGCAAGGTCTTGCACATCTACTCTTGGTGGTGAAGAATCGTCTTGTTCCGGAAAGTACGACAATGTTTCAATAATAATATCATATATCTTTGTCAACTCAATAGAAGAAACGGTCGCAGGTTCGCCATTGAGTGCATTGTAATAACACGATGCAAGATACTCCCTTATCAACCCATTCAATGATGCCGATGAATCCACTTTCCCCGAAATCAACTTTATCGAATCACGCCAAAGCTCATACTTTCTAAAAACCGACCCCTTATGCTCGTCATGAAACATCCAACTTTGCAATATACTCAAGTCAAATTCAAAATATTCCAATAGGGGCAATATTGTCGATTTGAGCCAAGATTCGGTGCCTCTGACTTCATTGGAACTCAATGGGGCAATGAATATGTCAAATTTAGCCTTCAAAGTTCTCGCCAACAAGTACTCTCGAAGCAGTGCATAATTAGCTTGGTAAGCCATAGCATAATGGATCCAGTAGTGGTTATATGGTCTAAGCACACCCTTGTACCACCGACGAAGTTCGTCAAAATGGGCATTTTCGAAAAGCGTGTCAATTTCATCGACTGCATTGTGAAATTGGCTCAAGTGTAGAGCTTTGGCTTGCAAGAAATGTAGCAAGCTTTCATCTTTTGATAATGAGATGTTGTAGTTGAATCCAAGAGAGTTTGCGGTTGAGTTTATGTCATGTAATAAATCATTGGCGGTAGCAACGAGGGACGTTTCATTCGGTATGGTCGTAAATTGTTCGACAAATACACCTTCAACTGGTTCTGACTCATTGACTATGAGTTGTGCAAGGTTGTAGATAGACGAATATGGAACAGTCCCAGGATATGTATTCACTAGCAAGACATTTAATAAATTATGAGTGGTGTTGTAATATGGATTGCTGTTTGTGATAGCTGATTTGACGAGTTGGAACTGGCCAGCCAATTGAGATTCAGTGGCAGATGTAAACAGTCTCACTGTAGATATGTATAGCTGAGCATCCTGGTACGGATCAAACGAAGTCATTTCTGCACTGGCTCTCTTCCAAGATAGTAATGTTAATTCAAGAGTGGTCAAACAGAAAATGAAAAAAACCAAAAAAAAAAAAAAACGCAGAGGGAAAGACATCAATCAATCAAACAATCAATCAATCAATCAACCCATTGTACCACGCCTCACACCTGGTGTAGATTACAAAATGGCTACACCTAGACAATTGATATTTATAGACGAAGTTGCAAAGAACCATGTCAAGTATTACGATCCCACTCTTTCATCATATTTGAAACTTCGACAAGATCTACTCAAGTTGTATACATCCATACAGAAACAAGTTCTAACCATTGATGCAGACGAGGACAGCAGCAGCAAAACTACCACCACCACCACCACTACCACAACGACGAGTAATGAATCGCATACAATCCTGTTCAAGCTCCACCAACTAGAAGTTGAGTTGCACAAAGTAGAACTAACGTACAGGACTCATATTGAAGAGCTCCTAAACCGTCTTCGAATTGAAAAGACCATGAAGCCGGATATATTAACTGGCATACAGAAAGAGTTGGACCAGATTATAGCCCAGAATGACGAGCTTCAAGAAAAGATTTCAAGAATAAAGACGGTTGAGAAACCACTTTTGGAAAAGATAACTAAATTGGTAAACAGTTTCAACAACAACATTGAGAAGAGTCGGGCCAAGCCGATTCTTTCCTCGTATATAAAGTCATTAGAAGGAGACATAAGCGACGAGCAAAAGGAGAAGGATTCATTACAAGTGGATTTCAAATCTTTGGTTTTCAGTAAAGATGAGTTGCGTTCACAATTGAGACAAATGTTGAATGACGAGTTAGCCAATCATGGTCATATTGATGAGATATTAAGAAATGGCAAGACATTCGACGAGTATGATGAGAATAAGGTGCTTTACAAACTATACAGATCGACCTTGTTTGACATCTCGCAATCCAAGACCTTGGATGAGTATGACGAGATGATTGCAAAAACCGTTGAGCAAATCCAAACATTGCAGAATGAAGGGGAATCTACGAAGCAGAGCTGGAATAAGAATGCAGAAAAGATATTGAAAATTAAAGCTATTGTGAATGAAGATGCTGATCAACAAGTAGTGGAAGACGTGGATATGACAGAGGCGGTGAATGACTAAATGTATATATAGCCAAATAGTATCAATGGAAGCCATGTGTTTTATATTACTTTTCTATAACGGGACTAATCAATATTACCGAATCTCCTCTCACAAAAACCATCTCTGTCCTTTTCGTTACTGGTTCAACCCCATCCTGGTCAGAGAATATCAGTTCTGTAGCATCACTCAAGACCAAATTGCAATGACTGTCATAACCCTGTAATTTACCTTTGAACTCGCGAGCTCCTCTTAACTTGACAATGACATACTCGTCGAGTTGAAATCGTATCAAGTCAAGGGGTTCTTGTTGTTGTTTGTGTTCTGTTTGTACCGAGGACATAGCTGTAGTGTGGGGGAGCAACTGTGTGCTGCTGTGTGCTGCTGTGTGTGCTACTGTGTGCTACTGTGTTGGGCAATTAACAGATATAAGCATCTGATTGATTACTTTGTCTTTTCTGTCTTTTCTGTCTCTGTTTTGAAGAAAAAAAATTTTGACGAAATCTCTCCTTTGCAAGAGAAGAAAGTGCTCAAAATTTTTCAGTCCTATCAGTATCCCATCCCGCTTCCACCACCACCCTAACTGACGTGGCTCATAGACATGCATTCAGTAACCTCAATACGATCACTTCTGAGAAGCTCAACCATACTAGCCAGAGCACCAACCAACTTAAAATTCACCGACTTGAAGTCCATAAAACTTCGTGCACCAATCCCCCCCACTGTGAAAAACTTTGAAGTATCACCTGATCACCCATTATGGCAATTTTTCCCCCAGGGCAACAAGACCACCTCACCCATCCGTGAATCGGAAGAGTTGGACTTGGATTCGCGAGAATGGACCAGTGCTGAATTGCGTCGCAAGTCATTTGATGATTTGCACACATTGTGGTATCTCACTTTGAAGGAACGTAATGTGTTGGCTAGAGAAGTGAGGTTGGGGGAGAGTTTAGGCATGGGTGATTTTAGACAGTTTAATATGCTCGACAACAAGTTGATCAAGACGCAAAAGAGAATAAAGCAGGTGTTATTGGAGAGACATATTGCGTTTGAACGAGCACAGGCTAGTCCTGATGTCAATACTGAGCAACTGAAGTATCTTGAGGAGTTTGAACAGAGGTATGTCAGTTGCAGCGAGGCAGAAATTGGTGAAATGGATGCCAAGTTGTTGCGGTTACAATATGCATTTTTTGGAATTGAACCTGCATTGACATTGGAGACTTTGAAAGATGACATTGACCCCAATTTCGTCAAGGGGGTCAGCTATACTAGCCAAGTGAAGCTAAATAGATATTTGGAACAGAATCCTGAAACAGATTTGCAATTGCCGTTGAATGGTATAATGGAAGAATTGCCATTCTTCTTGTACGATGTTGAAGAGGCAATTGATCAAGTGAAACAGTTGCGAGAATCAGGACAGTCACGCAAATTGGACAAGATTGAAGTTATTCCATTTTTGAACAAGGCAATTGGGAAACATTTGGGTACTGGAGAGGATGGCGAAGATGTGTAAATAAAATCAACTTGTATATATAGACATGAGCCTTTAAAAAAAAAACATTCTATTGCAAATGCTACTATTCGTATGGCCAATGTGTCTGGAGAACATACTAGAGCTAGAGGCTGTACCTCAGTTCGAACATTTTGACCCCATACTCAGACACATCCTTGTCGGTGTAGTTTCTCCTTCTATACGCATCAACCGCCCAATGAGAGAGAAAAATGAAAAATTGCACCACCAGAAAACAAAAATCTCACATTGTAGTAACAGCTACCCAACCATCAACACAAATCCAGCCAGCTAAATCTACTAGAAGATGGGAGGCAGAATACATGGATTCCTCGGGGGTGTATTATTAACATCTACATTGACATACTACACAGGCCAACTATTCCATCGCAATCAAGAATTCATTTCACAACATCTCCAAGCCTCAAACCACATCATCAATAATCGAATCTTGACCGATTCCGAATTACGCAACACCGTTATACCCAATAACCACATTGTCCGTAACGAGAGAGCCAACTTTGCTGAAACTTGTAAAGATATATGGAATGAGGAGATTATCAAGATGGTTAATTGGGTTTATGGTATAAATTGGTACAAATTGGGCATCAAGTTGGACGATGAGACAAAGAAGTTGACGGACAAGATTGCCGAGCTGTTAGTTAATAAGAAGTAGGGGACTGCTATGTATACATACATATAATGTATTCACATATCCACAAAAATGATATAATTAAATCTCTAGTTATTGCTATACAAAGCAGATTCACTCCACCTTCCTTGCCTCTTCTTTAAAATGCTTCTTTATCTGTCTTCCTATACTCCAGCTAATCACAGGAGCAAAAATCAGCAAAACAAAGCTAACAACCACTTGCAAAACCCCCCATTGGCGAGGTAGGATCCCCAACGTACTACATCCAAGCACCCAGCCCACAACATCAGTAGTGATTGTATCATACCCCTTCGACAACTGATCACACACTATATCCGCACAAACATCACTAGGAATAGGCGCACTTGGACCCTCAATCAACTTTGTCAACTGCGGCTTGGTCTTTTGCTCCTCATCAAACCCTTCACTTTGGAAATTTCCCGGAAACACACACGAGACACGATAATTAAACGGTCTCAACTCCTGTCTCAAAATCACCGAGAGCGACTCGAGCGCCGCTTTCATGGGCGCATATTGGGCGTATCCGACAAATGGGAAAAACGAAACCACCGAACTGAATATGATAATGTGTCTAGGTGTCCATTCATGGGGTGGGACGGATTTGGATTTGTTCATCTGCAACAAATGCTTAAACCCGCTATGCACTACATTCAACGCCGTTCGATAATTGATATCGATCCCAGCGTCCAAATCACTCAGAGTCAAGTCTTGGAAGAGTTTAGGCACACTAGATCCAGCACAACAAAATATGATTGTTGGATCATACCCATGTACAGTGATTTGTTTCCATAGATTGACAAAATCCTCATAGTTGGCAGCATCGCATGAGTAGCTGGCCACTTTGGCGGTGTGATGGGGATGCGCCTTGGGTAATTCGAGTATACGTTTCACTTGCGTATCTAGCTTCGATTGGGTTCTGGCAACGAGTATGACGGAGCAGTTTTGCAAGTATAACTTTGCTGCAATGTCGGCGCCGACGCCCTGGGATGCTCCTACTATAATTGCAGTTTTGCCGTCGACGGGGAAGTGAGATTTGGAGAACCACATGAGTTTTGGTGATTGAAGGGGGATTGAACGTCGCTGAGGAGATGCAAAATGGCTTTATCATAGAATTTGCTTTTTTTTTTTGCTTTTGGTTTATGTTACACGCGCATTTCCTACCACCACCACCATGAGAAGAGTGGATATGCTTATGCTTATACTGTATGTACACGATTAACTAAGAAACGTCTTGTCCCAAACCTATGTGGATCTCAAGAATGGCGACTGAGGTATATTAGAAGATCCTAGTTGCGCTTCAGTGGCACCAGGAGTTCTTCTTGGTTTAGTTTTATACTTTTTCGAAACCAACAATTTCCCCTTCAATTCACCAGTGTGTCTTTCCATATTAGGCAAGCTCTCCAACAGCTTCCTCAATTTCTCATCGTCGATTGTGGTGGTAGCAGTGGCAGAATCAGTACCATCTCTTTCTTCTCCCCCTCCTCCTCCTACTTCTTTTTCTTCTATTCCGTTCTTAAAGAACTCCTTTTTACAAGTTTCAACAGCATTTCTAAACACTTGCTCGCCATCAGGTCTGCCACTAGTCAACTTCTTCACATTCAACTCAGTTATATCATCCAATGGTATATTCTGCAACTCCAACTTGGCAACAGCCTTTGCAGTAAACCACAACTTGATCTCATATTTGGAATCGACCAACTCCAACACACACATAGGTGCCTTATCCTCACCCAATCGAGGCTCCAATTTGATTATCCTCGTGAACCCGTGGTCTCTATTTGCGTACCGTTGGGTCAATTCGCGAATCACTTTCAATCCCACATCTTGCTTGTCTGGAGGCTGCAAGTAGTCAAAAGCCTTGATTTGGAGTAGTTTTTCTCCAGGGTTGTTGTTGCTGCTGCTTGTGGTAGTAGTAGTAGTAGTAGTAGTAGATCTGGCAAGTTGTTTACTCTCAGCGAGTGCTTTGCCCAAGAATCGTTCAATATGAGGTTGTGCTTGTCTAGCTTTTGCTTGTGTGGTTATTATATTCTCGTTACGTATGACGTTGGCACATAGGTTTTTGTAGATCATCTTCTTGTGGGCAGCCACATCCTTGTTGAAATGGTTTATTGTGACCATGCTGCGGGAAGAAGCGATACGTTTAAAGTATGTACAGGTGAAATGGAATAGCCCGTTGTATGTGTGTGTGTGTCTACGGTGGAAAGAAGGAAATGAAATTTTTTTTTTTTTCATACAAAAAGACTGGTGTCGCAACAATAGGTGTCACGACATTGTATACTGTTTATGACACTGAATAGATTGGACAGCGAGAGAAAGAGAGAGAGAAAAAAAAATTTAACCATCGCATCTTCATCCATCACAAGACTTCAATACAGATTACACAGCACACACATTCACACCTCAAACATGCATTTGATGTACACCTTGGACGCCGATGGCAAGAGAATATACACTTTAAGGAAACTCACAGAGTCTGGCCAGATCACCGAATCAGCACATCCAGCCAGATTCAGTCCCGATGACAAGTATTCAAGACAAAGAGTCACTTTGAAAAAGAGATTTGGGTTGTTACCTACGCAGAATTAAGAGAGTGAGAGAGGAGTCATGTTGTTGAAGGGTTTTTGTTTACGAAGAGGAATTTTAATTTTCAAGTATCTTTCATAGAATGGTTGAGATATAATGTATATGCGCTTTATTGAAACTTTCAAGGATTGATTTAATTAACAGGCGTGAGAAAGGCTATGTATGATCTGTAACTGGATATGGCTTCTCATGACTTACATTCGCAGATACCTTGTGTCCATTTGGGCTCCGCCCATGACTCTGGTCTGTACTCTGTCAAAAATTGTGGGTTGTAACTATCACCACACACCTGGTGGGTGATCCACAACAAGGAACCTTTCCCACTAGCCTAATACTTTGAGTGTACCAATCCACTATTCTCTTTCCTCCATTTCTTCTTCTTCTTCTTCCTCCTCTTCTTCAGCTAGAGCAGTCTCCCTTTGTCCCGTAGCTTGTAAATGATACTCAGCATTCCGTATATAACTTTCCCACATCCTAGCCAACACCTCTGTTGACAAATTGTTCTTGTTTGCATCGCCTAGTAACTTTTTCATTTCAACTACTGATTCATTCAAATTCTCCTATAAAAGAAGTTTAGTTAGTAATTGATCTTCAACATCGTGCTGAGTTAAAGAGGGAGGGACGTACCATGTTGGTTATTATTCTTGCTAGGAGCATATTGTGAGTTTGTTCATGTGGATTCTCCATGTTTGGATGTGCGGAGTGCAATGGTGAGAGTAGCGTGGCTTGTTGTGTATGTTTATGGTTTCCACACTTTCAAGTTTTTTTTTTTTTCACGTGTGTGTCTTTTGGCTGAGCCAGACGGAACAAATTTTCAACAGATCACCTCCCAACATTCAGCACGTCATAAGCAATACTCATAAACTTACACACACACACACACACACACACACAGAGTGTGTGAGATATCACAATGGACAAAGTACTTCTCATATTGCTATCCATTCTCATTGGATTTATTCTTCTACTCATCCAGTTCTTTCTCCAATCAGGCGGATTGAACGCTATAAAATTTTCATCAAAGAACAAGTCGCCATATTACAAACCAAGTTTCATTATATGCGGACCTAACAACAGCGGCAAAACCGCCCTCTTTTATCGTCTCGCTACTGCAGAAAGTAGTGAACAACAACAACAACAAGAAGACGACGAAGGGGAAGAGGAACAGGACCAAAAGAAGGGCCGTGCAAAGATCACAACCACGGTTTCTTCAATTGAACCTAATTTCGGCACTGTGACATTGCCCATTACGACTCCAAGTATAAGCAAACCATTCCAATTGGTAGATTACCCGGGCCACTTGAAGTACTGGAACTTGTTTACGAAATTGATCAAGAACGACATCACGTTATCCAACATCAAGGGGATTGTCGTTGTGATTGACTCGAGCAGCGCCAATTGGACCAAGGGAAGCACAAATGCCAACACCAAATCTGGTAGTGGCAGTACTAGTGCTACTAGCTCTGCTGGAGCTGAAGTTGAGAAATTGACCAAGTTTTTGTACAACTTGCTCGCCATCACCGAACGCAAACAAAATGGAATCGATTTCCTCTTTGCCGTCAACAAATCAGACTTGTTTGACTCGGTACCCACGCATAAAATAAGATCGACTTTGGAAGTGGAGATTGATAAATTGATCCATAATGAGATCAACAATGTCGACAAGACGTCAGGAATTGACGCGATTGGAGAAGACGTGGATGAGGGAGCCAATGATGGTAGCAATGGAGGTGAATATGGCAGTGGCAGTGGCAGTGGTGCAGGTTCTGGTGCAGGTGCTGGTGGGTATAGAGAAAACATGCGTGAGTTTTGGTTGAGCATCATCGGGTCCAGTGAAGGACAATTTACATTTGATAAGTTGGAAGGTAATATGGATTTCTTGAGTGGCAGTGTGTTGAAGAACAAGATTGACAAGTGGGAGTCGTGGTTTGATGAAAAAGTCGTCAACTCGTGAGTAAGGGATGTACCTATTTGGATATATATATATATATGTATGTATGTATAGCATTCACTCTAATGACAAGAACTAATGAAGATGCGTCTTTGTATTGAGGTGTTGTCAATGGAACATGGGGACTTGAGTCGTGGTAGTGGTAGTGGTAGTGGTAGTGGTAGTGGTGTAGATAGGACTCGTCTTTGTCAATGACTTTTGAGTCAGCATAGTCAAGCAACACTGCGGTTACCATCTATTCGAAATGTCCTACAGTTCACCAATCGAGTATCCGGTATTAATCAATTTGAGAAAAAGTTTCTTGCAATGAGATAGACCGGCTTGGACTTAGCAGCGCCATCTCCACATCTGTTTTAAGAACTCGAGGAAGGTTGTGTTTGTGACAATTAAGTAATGCATCCACGACCAGCACTGGAATTGCCGTAGTGGTGCCAGTAACCTAGTTTTCTATGAAAAAGCATAACCACGTTACAACTCCTGTCACCATATTAAACCAATGCATGGGTTAGTTTCAATTAAGCAATGTTGTGATGGGGTGCTGAGGGAAAGAACCCCGGTTGTTGAATCTTTTCAGTACGTTGTTTATTATAAATTTTCTTTTGATTCAACATCAACCTATTTCGATAGACTTGTTGATTCAAAGTGTATTTCTTGAACTTGTATTGCGTTAGTTCCGTTTGCTTTTCGGCTAGTTCTTGTTCCGTTTTGAGTAATTTTGCTTTTAGTGATTCATAAGTGGTTGAATCCTGTTTTGCAGTGGTGGAATCTGATTGCTTCTTCTCTTTCTCTTTGTTACTATATTTATCACTACTCTCATCTGATTTGTTGTCAGCAGTGGATGTTCTCTCTTTTGACGTCGACCAGTACGAACTGATCCCCCACAAATACGGTTTTGCAGCTTCAACTTCAACTCGCAATTTGTCCACTTGCAGACGCAACTCATCCACTTGTTTTTGCAACGCAGTGTATTCATCCAGTGGTATAGGCGATGCAAACTGATCATCTCTCAAGTGTTGCGCACAAGTGTAGAAGAAATCGGCATTGTTGTCAGCTAGTAGTACCGTCGTTGATGGCTTGAAGCATATCGTGCACGGTTTGGAATCTTGTTGTGCGACAAGACGTGCGTTATATTTATTGGGGAATGGTGGTTGTAGCTGTTGCTTGGCGGTGGGTTGTGGTGGCGTACTCATACTGTGGAGTGAAGAGAAGACGAGTTATCACTCGGAGGTATTGTCAGTGCTGAAGCCATTTCAACTTTTGAGAAAGTCTCTCTGTTTTATTTGTTTTTTTTCCTTTTAGCAGGTTTGCACGTGACAACCGGGTTTGATAAGGTGCCAAAAAAAAAAAAGAAAAAAAGAAAAGCAGTAAAATCGTCTCATTCTGCTAGTGTAGAGAGGATGGTGTAGGCACCATAGGTTGCCCCTTTGATATATATATATATTGATATGAGATTAATAACTTTAAAGAACGCAAGATGCTAACTACAACCCCTACTGTTGACCATTTTCTTTTTTTTGATGTGCTAGGTCCATTAATTAGCAGGTCAATTGAACATCTATAGATTTCAGCTTCAATGCTTATTGTGGAAGGGGGGTGAGGTTAAGTCAGAGCTGTATTAAATATCACAAATTACTGAGAAAGGAAGACATGGCCGTTTAATATATTGGCTTCTTTCTTTTGTAGGAAATAAAATCTCAATTGATTCAATTAATATCGCTCGTTGAAATTGCGTCTCATTTGCAAAATTGAAAATGTCGTTCTAAGGACTTGAAATTAGTTTATTAACCGTGTTTCGGACATTGATAGAAGTAGAAGTTCTCCTTATTCAAGCCGGATTTTATGACAACAAGTGATATGACAAAGAGCCAAAATCTTTGGAGGAGTGTTGGTTGCAAACGAAGAAACAAAAGAAACTTACGCTGACAGCTGTTCTAATGCTTTCCCTCTCCTTCTAGTTTGACATGTAGTGAATGAATAGATCCCATCCACAATGTCGTGT